AAAGGAGATTATTTTAATAAAATTCATACAAAATATAAAAATGAGTTATAAATAATAGTTAATCACTTATACATGACAGCCAATTATATCTTTTAATTGTGTCATGTCACTGTTAAAAGTAAATGTATTAACAGTCATATGACCCAATTAAAAGATATAATTAATTGTCAGTGTAAAAAAACTGACAGTATATAAGTGATTAATTCTATAAATAATGGTTGTAGATCGTTATTATTATAAATTTAAATAACTTTTTAAGTGAATCTTCTAATTCTAAAAGCCCCAATTAAAATGCACAGTTTAGAGTAATATTTTCCAATAAACATGCCTTCTATTGATTATAATAGGCTGAGTGTTTATCAGTAGGGATGGCAAACATACCCGTACCCGCGGGTAATACTCGAACCCATCCCTACTTTGACGGGGAATACCCAGTTTGACCGGGTACAAGTACGGGTATGGATAAAACCCGATATATTAAATCAGGTACGGGTACGGGTACGGGTACGAGTATGTACTTACCTGCCCCGTACCCGTCCTCGTTCTCATTTTTAATTTAATACTCACTTTCACTTTAATTATATTAAAAAAAATTACATTTTTTTTATGTGTGATTATTTATTATAATATAAAATAAAGAAATAATTTAATTATAATTATAATATAATAAAAAAATAATTTAAAAATCATTTTTTTAACAAAAAAATAAAAAATAAAAAATTGACGGATACGAGTACGGATACGGGAATACCCGATACCCGACGGGGACAAGGATGGGAATGAGTTTAACTCGCGGGGACAGAAACAGGTATCATGAAACCCGTAACCGCCCCACCCCATTGCCATCCCTATTTATCAGTATTGTTTACAATAACATAATTAACTATATTTGATTATTTGAATATGAATATTTATCATTACAATTTCTTTTGATATTATTGCAGGAGGGATGGGAGCGTGGATCAGCAGGGAAAGAAAAGGAAGAATGTTTTAAATTATGTTTGAGTTATCATTTTACCCTTGTTTTTGGTACTCGCGTGAACAGTGAAGTTTTGTTCGTGATGTTTCACATTAATATCCTTCTGAATATTAATAATAAATATTAAATTTTAATTCTTAAACATGTTCCAGATATTAATGAGATCAACATGTTTCTATATATTTTATTTAAATAAAATATGAAATTATATAATAATTAAAATAAAAGATAAATGATAAATAACTAAAAGTAAAAAAGATGGAATGTTATTAAGGGGTAAAATTGATTATTGAAAAGTGAAAATCTCTTAAGGATTTGGTTTCTCTAAAGTGAATGATACAGTTTAAAGGATAAAATAAAATAATAATCATTAATTAAAAAATCATTATCAAAAGTTATGATAAAATTAAATATATATATAATAAAATTTAAAATTAACTATAATACCCATAATCGATAGGTTAAGCCACTTAGAATACTTACCTCACTTATAAAAGATCTCCATAAGTTGATATGCATGACGATGTGACGCATTAATTGTTTAAAGTTGTTAAGTTGTGTTTAAAGTTATTTGTATCGAGAATGTTGTAACTTGTAAACGATGATTAAAGTTGATGATAAACTTTGAGCTGACTTGTTTAAATCTATTTACGTTGTTATAAATTGTAATCTCATTACTTGTTGGTATGATGATTTTTTCGTAAGCTTGTCCTTTTCTTTTATTTGTTCTTGGATTGTAATAATCATATTTAGTATGAGAACATGACAAAATAGTTTGGATGACTTAACTTGTTGGTGGATAGTCATGTTGGAGATAACTTGTTTTGAGTATACTATCCTAATGTAGTATTGTTGTATAGAGACGTTTTGACCAATAATAAGGTTATTTTGTATACAATAGTGTGTATTATATA